CTTCCTTCCTTCCTTCCTTCCTTCCTTCCTTCCTTCCTTCCTTCCTTTTCTTTTTTCTTTGTGTCCTTTCTTTCTTTGGTTTTTCCAGACAGAGCTTTTCTATGGAATTTGTAGGGACTTGCAGGGACATACTGGGATTTGCAGAAAGGGCAGAGCTCTGGAAGTCCTGTGGAAGTGTTGGGGAAAGATGGAAGGACCTGGAGGAGACAGGAACCTCACAAGAAGACCAACAGAGACAACTAACCCAGTCCCATGGGGGCTTACAGAGACTGAGACATCAGCTAAGAAGCATGCATGGTCTGGGCCTAGGGCCCCTGCTCACATGTGGCCAATGGGTGGTTTGGTCTTCAATGGGGCACCTGGCCCGTGGAGGGGAGTATTTCTAGCATGGACTCTATTGCCTGCTTTTGGATCCCTTTCCCCTGCCAGCACTGCCTACCCTGACCTCAGGGGATGATGTGAATTGACTTGCAGGGGAGTATTGATATAGGGGATGGGGCTCCTCTTTTCTGGGGGAGAGGAAGAGGGAAAGGCAGAAGGAGAGGAAGGGGGCTGAGAGGAAAAGAGAGAGGGGACACCCTTGGGATGCAAAAGAAATAAAATTAAATTATGAAAAATAGAATGTCCAGAGAACACGGAAAAAATTTTCCAATGAAAATTCTTTAAAAAGTAAAACAAAATGAGACAAGTTCATAGCACTGAGTGCCTACATTAAAAAAAAAAACCTGGAAAAATTTTGTATTAATAAGTTAATTACATACTTGAAAGCTTAAGTAAAACAAGATGAAATCATACCTCCCCCCCCCCCAATCTTTACCAATTAAACATTTGAGAGGTTTTATTAGTCAGGATTCTCTAAATGAACAGAACTTGGGGCTGGAGAGATGGCTCAGTAGTTAAGAGCACTGGGTGCTCTTCCAGAGGACCAGCACCCATATGCAGCTCATAACCGTCTGTAACTCCAAACCTGGGGATCCAACAAAACTCCAATGCACATGAAACAAAAACAAATAAGTCACTTTTTTTAAAGTGACTTTAAAGAAACAGAACTTATACAATGATAATATATTAAAACTGGAAAAATGAAAAAATAAATCCAGGTAAATTGATGGAGTTAGAAACAGTCATCACAATATAGACCCCAAAATACAAATATTGCACATTTTCTCTTTTGAATGGATGTTAGCCATTAAACTTTAGATATGCATTTCATTTAAAATAGGCATAGCGTTTAGGTTGCAAGTAAGGAACAAAGGGGGAGGAGGAGATCTTCCAAGGAAGGGAGAATTGATTACAGTGTTTAAAGATATAAAGGGGAAACTAGAATGGGGGGATTAAATGGGCAGGAAGATGGGAGAGCAGAGTGAAGGAGGGAATATGAGGAGGGATAGCTAGTAAGACAGAACCTTCCTAAACTATGCACATATATGAAAGGAATTTAAATGGAGTCACCATATTATGGCATATAAAATGCCTCAAAAAAACATGTTACGCCACCAAGTAAAACCTCCAGTACCAGCAGTGAATTACATCTTGTTGAATCATGGGCCAAAGAGGTCCCATATAACTCCCTAAAACATGACAGGCTAATGCTAAGGCTGTTGATTATTCTCCATAACCTTATGGTAAGGCCCTATTGCTGAGGGAAACATTTATGTTATTGAACATAAAAAATTGAATTGGTGCCCAATGAAAAGCTTCACCCTTACTGACTAACATTCATGGTGCTGTTATTAGAGAAGAAAAGTAATCAATAATATCACCTCGCTACAAACCCTGAGACCTACAACAGTGACTTTCTTTCAAGTCATTCTGGTGTAGTAGCAGGACAACTATTACAGAAGTAACCAATCACCTTTTGAATGGATTCATGCACACTCCATGAGATGAAACCCATGACTGATCCTGTCAAATTGGCCAAGAAACCAAGACTAGATATGTCATGGGCCCTAGGGTAAAACCCAGTATTATGATTCTCCTGTAGAAATATAGCAGTGCACCAATAGCTGGGTACATCACTTAACCCTCATCAAAGAAGCTTTTTCTTGCAGTAGATGATCATTAACACAGAGACCCACAGCTGAATAGTGAGCAGAAAGTGGGAGACTTTAGAGCACTAAATCCTAAGTGGGATGTCTTTATCAAGTTCCTCCCTTTCTGGCTATGAGGAAAAGGGGCTGGAAATACTGTACCAGCCAGAAGTGGTGATGACTTCATCGAAATTGTGTCTTCAAGGCACAGCAGGACTGATAGCTACACATATGAACTCACAGAACTGTGATAGCACATACAAGACTTGTTCACATTCAGACCTGACGAAATCTCAGACCTTAGGAGAGGTAGACATTAAATCCCACCCTTAACCAAGAAGCTTTTTGCAATTAGTATCTTCTGGGAAAGGGAAGATTAATTTTCTCCATCAGAGTGTCACTGCATATGTAAACCCATACTTCAAAACAGGCCAACATAAAATAGACTCTGTGTTTTTTTGTGTGTGCTTTTTTTTTTGTTTTGTTTTTGTCTTATTTTTTTGTTTGTTTGTTTTGAGTTTTTTTTAGAGAGAGAGAGAGCATAATGTTGGAAAGGTAGGGATTTAGGGAGGATCTGGGAGGGAATGGCTGGGGGAAAATATGATCAAAATATACTATACAGAAAAATTAATGGAACCACCTGTTGGGAGCCATTTTACAGAGGCTCTCTGTCGGCATAGCTTTGCCTGCTTGCTCTTTGGTCTAGTTTAAAGGTTATGTGGTTTGCTGAAATTAAGATAAACAAAATGTTCTGCCTGGTTTGCATTTAAGGTCTGCTGACTTTAAGAGGAGGTGCATCAAAGTATCAGAGCTAACAGTTTGCATTCAAAGTCTGCTGACTTTAGGAGGGAGTGCATCAAAGCCTCAAAGCTAAAAGTTGACTGTTCCTTTAACTGAATCCATCTCATTTCTCTGTCTTTTTTTCTTAATCCTCACTAGGCTGGCTCTGGCAACCACCACTCCAACTTTCGGGTTTCGGGGAGAAACAAGAAAATAAAGAAGAGCTCAATCAATCTATATATGAAAAAAGAAAAGTTTTATTCTTTACTTTCCTGCCTTATGTCATTTAGGATAAATGATGAGCCACTGAAGGAATGCTAAAAAGAAACTGTGTATTAAAGTCCTTAGGGAGGAAATAGCCACAACATACATTGAACTTTGTACATGGCTGATTAACTGGGTATGATGGAGGGCTTTAGCTGTTGCAGTTCCAGAGTTGCATTCTTAAACTATCTTAACCCTCCCCCCATCCAAAATGGTCACGTATTGTTCACCTCCGTGTGTGACATAACATTCCTCTGGCTATTAGGTAAGTTCTTTTGGAATGTGTGCACAGATCCCCTGCTTTCACTGACCCAAAGGCTAAGAATGCCCTCAGATAGTATCTGAAACCTACAGCAGAGGTTTTTCCAGTTTGCCTTCTAAGCTTGTGGTCCTGTGTCTTGGTCAGTCATAGTTGACTCCAAAACAAACTGTATTTTATTTACTTTGAGATGAGAGCTCTGTTCTATATTCACATAAGGAACCACTAAAAATTGTGTTTCCACAATGCCTTTAATCCCAGCACAGGGAAGGCAGAGACAGGCAAATCTCTGAGTTCAAGGCCAGCCTGGTATGTAGAGCAAGTTCCAAGACAGCCAGAGTTACATAGAGAAACCTTGTCTCAAACAACAAAAACAAATTTTGTTTCCAAATTTCTTAATAACTACAGAAAATACTCATGATATAAATTACAACGTGAGATATAAATGTATAGAATACGCTCTCAGATGTGTAAGGTTATAGAACAGATATATTGATAAGAGAAAAATCAGCTTAACAAACATTTTGGTGTTTGCCTAGTTTATATGACTAAAGTTAGTTTTATTTTTTTTTTATTTCACTGAGTTTTAGAAAAGCAAATACCAGCATATTTCCCTCACATTTAGAAAAACATTAAAAAATCATTCTGACAAGTGATCAAGTAGAAAATATAGAGGAGAGTTGAAATTAACATACTGGACTGTGCAAGGCCTTTTCCCACTCCAGTTTCAAATCCCTTAAAAATGAACGAACTTGTAGGTTTGTTTATACGGTTTCTCCTACACCACGTTTTTTTTTTTTTTTTCTTACTTGTTCTTTTTCTTTTTTTCTTTTTCGCTTGTGAGGAATTCCTGGAAGATAGAAAGCAGATGGAGCCTCAGTGAAGTATGCAGTTGGGCAGCAGACAGCCGGCAGGGGAGAGGGGAGCTGTACTGTCTGGCTCTGGTGGGAGTGAAACTGGGACGAGGGGTGGGGGCGGCGCAAGAGTAAAGCAGAGTGCCTGTGTCAGTGGAGCTGCCCCAGGAGCGGAAGACAAGACTGAAGCGGGAGGGGTGGAAGAAAGGAGAGGGCGGGCTCAGAGGAGGAGGATTCCCTAAACAACAAAAATCCCGGTTCCGCGTATTGGCCAAGCTGACAAGCGCTGCCAAGACCAGGCCGCGCAAACTGCTGGGGGACGTGCCACTGCCTGCGCTTTTCGTTGCTGCAACCATCCCTGTTATCTCTTGTCCACGTTAACTGCCGTCTTCTTCTCGGTTGCCGTTCTGCAACCGCAGCAGCCTTGACGACAACAGCTAAGTGACGGATTCTGCCCGGGACTTGGGCTTTGGGAGTCAGGGAAGGCGCCAGGAGCGGACTGAAGGAACCCGGGGCCCGCCATCTCTTTCCAGCCAGCACGGTTGCAATCTGTGCACCCTGAAGGCGGAGAAAGCACTAGTGAGAGGAACTCTCTGTCCCGGTTCCCGGTCAGCAAGTTCCTGACAAAATCTAAACGGAGAACGGACACAGTCTCCCAGATTGCCAAAAATCGGACCGTGTCGACTATTTGTCAGCTTGTTAAGCAAAGGGCAGCTTTGCTTTGGCTCCTTAAGCCTTGAGCCATGTCTCCTCCGACTGTGCCTCCTACTGGGGTAGATGGTGTGTCTGCCTACCTGATGAAGAAAAGGCACACTCACAAGAAGCCGCGACGTAAGCCCACTTTCCTCACTCATAGGAACATCGTGGGCTGCCGCATTCAACACGGCTGGAAAGAAGGCAACGAGCCAGTAGAGCAATGGAAGGGTACTGTGCTCGAGCAGGTTTCCGTGAAGCCCAGTCTGTACATCATTAAGTACGACGGCAAAGACAGTGTGTACGGACTAGAACTGCACAGAGACAAGAGAGTTTTAGCGCTAGAAATCCTTCCTGAGAGAGTTCCTTCTTCCCGCATCGATTCTCGCCTGGCAGATTCCCTGGTTGGGAAGGCAGTGGGCCATGTTTTCGAAGGTGAGCACGGTAAGAAAGATGAGTGGAAGGGTATGGTGTTGGCCCGAGCCCCCATCATGGACACTTGGTTTTACATCACCTATGAGAAAGATCCGGTCCTCTATATGTACACCCTGCTCGACGACTACAAAGATGGTGACCTGCTTATCATTCCAGATAACAATTACTACTTCCCAACCACCGAGCAGGAGCCTGGGGAAGTACTCGACAGCCTTGTGGGCAAGCAGGTGGAACACGCCAAAGAAGACGGATCCAAGAGAACTGGAATTTTTATCCATCAGGTGGTGGCCAAGCCATCTGTCTACTTCATTAAGTTTGATGATGATATTCACATTTATGTCTATGGTTTGGTGAAAACCCCGTAAGTTTACAGTACTCTTTGCAAAACTTGTGGAACTATTAGAGGTAAAATACTTTATGTTCTCAAAATTATGTGTTTTGAGAGCAATTTTGAGGTCAAATATCAGGGCAGTGGATAAATCTTACCGTGCCTCCATATTGACTGTTTCCCAGTTTTGGCTCAAGTCTATGTTGGTACTTTTTGCTGTTTACTTATTTTGTAGTTGAAAATTGAAATTTAGATTGGTTGTTAAGGGGAAAAAAGTGTTTGAATCCACTGAAACAATTCAAAAGTAGATAAAGTGTGCATGTCTTTTGCTCCCTTCCCCTTCTTTTTATTATTATTCTTTTATTTTTCTAAGTAATTAGTTTAAGCACTTGGCATTTATGTTAGGATGTTTTCCTCCACTCTCAAACAGCAAGTTCGATGTAGCGTTTATAAAACTGATCAGCCAGCTAGATTATGTACTTTGTGATCAATAGCCTAGTCAGTCTCTGTCCTTCGATCTCACACTTCCTCTCACAACAGTGTACACATACAGATTGGTGGTCATTGATTCCACCTCTTTACTCATTATGCTGTTTTATTGTATTAAGGTGCTCTTATTTCTGTAGAAGTGTTATATAGGTATATATTTAGTTTTAAGAAATCTTGAAAGGTTGCCATCCACTGGTCTTTAATGTTTAAAATACTGACAGGTAAAAAGTTCCATGGTTTTCTCGATTACTTTGATGTTTACCTGACTCAATGAGATTTATTTTTCTACTTGGAATATTTCTCTTTTGTGATTTACTTATTCCTATCCTTTGTTCTTTTATCTATTCAATTGACATTTTACACATAAAGTTGTAGGGATGTGTACAATTAAGTGCATTTAATCTTTTATATTTCATATGTTAATGAATTTTGCATTATGTTATTACTCTTCACTTTATTGATAATATTGTTCATGTAAAATTTATTTTTAATTTTATAATTCTAAAATGTCTATGTCTTTTATAAATTTTTGGCTTCATGTCTTTTTCAGACAGATGTCTCTTACCTAAGCCATACAAATATTCACTTTTTTTTCTTATAGTCTTTATTATATTCGCTTTTTTTTTTTTTTTTTTTTTTACCAATCTGAGATTCATTTTTTTTGCTCTGGTAATTCATACAGCTTCAACTCCAGATATTTTGCATTACAAATTCAATTGTTAAAATTACTTTTTTTTTTTTAAAGAAAAGATCACTCTTTTTCAAATTTCTGAGTGAAAATTAACTATAAACATAGTTTCAAAAACTGGAATAACAAATTCCCTTTCAATAGATTTTTTTCTTTCATATTATAATTTATTCTCTATATTCATCCTTTCACAGGAAAACCCAATGCATTTTATTGATATTTTGAGAAGGGTCTGATACCTACTAGAATTGCATCAATTTTTTGTACTCTTATATGCAAGAAAAAAATTAATAGTGATATTCTTAACACAGAATTTTGTACATCATTGAAATATTTTTATATTTTTTCATAACATTCTTCTTATAGGTCATTCATATAAAATGGAATTTATTTTTGCAGTTATCTAATTTTGTAATAAGTTGAATATTTTTCCTCCTTATATGTAACTTTTTATTTTTATCAATAAAGGAAATCTACAGATTTTATATTTATCTTATCCAAAGAGTTTATTTAATCCTATAGGTTATATGGGATTTTAATTAGAAACTTTTGGATTTTTCTTGATATATACAATCATTTTATATGTAAATACAGAAAATTTTATTTCTTCTAATGCTTATACGTATTAGTATTACATTAGCTGGATTCTCCAGAGCAGTGTTATGTAATGATGATGGCAGACATGCCTATCCTATTTCTAATTTTTATGAAAATGACCTTATTTTTTCCTGTTTGACTTTGTTGTTAATTCTTGGTAAGTAGTTATTCATATGTTCAGAAATTTCTTTTTTTACTTTTTTATTTTAATTTTTATCAATTACACTTTATTCACTTTGTATCCCCCTAAAAACCCCTCCCTCTTCCCCTCCTAATCCCACCTTCCCTCCCCCTTCTCCACACATCTTCTGGTTTTGTTTATATATAATTTCTATTAGAAATTATTGTAATCATGTCTTTTCCCTTGAATTTGTTGATAATGATTTATTAGAAAGCTACATATTAAACCAAACCTATATTTCTGGAATACTGTTTGCTTATGATAAAATAGTCATATATTATTTTTGCTGTATTTTATTTACCAATAATGAATTTAGAATAGGATTTGTATTCCAAAGTGAAGTTACATTTTTAGATTATTCTTTATATTTTCATTGAATCAACAGATAACAGGTTGTGTCATTTCTTTCTTTCATACACTCTCTTTATGAAGTTTTGTTATTACAGTTCTACTAGCTTAAAAAATGACTTGGTGAAATAGCATTAGAAATATTCTTTAAAAGTTAGCTGGGACTAAGCTGTAGAACATTTGAACCCTGGAGCCACACATGATTATGGATCTTTAGTTTCCTGATATTTTTCCAATGGCAATTGGCTTTTCAGACTTTTTGTTAATATAGAATATATATGTTTTCTGTCATTTACAGAATATATATTCTCTGCCAATTATATATAAAGTTGAAAGTTGTTTGTGTTATAAAGTTTGATGATTGTATTTTTCATGTGCTTTATGTACTTGTGTATTTACTGTGAACTAGATTTTCCCAGTTCAGAAAATGTAATAAATTCATCAGCATATTTGTATAATATATTTGTAGAATACAAAGATAAAATGATCTTTGTTTTCTTTTCTTTTCTAGAAAAATAAGACAAAATATAGGAAATGATGAAAATGTGAAAAACATTTGTTTACCTCCACTTCAAATTAGCAAATATCAATACTTTGTTATGTTTGCTTTAAATACAGATTTATATTACAATTCATCAGTGTGAAAGGTTAATGAATTCATTTTCTACTACCACACCACCTCTTCTGCAGAGGAAAACACTGTCATGTATTTGGTGCTCATGTTTTATATATTTACTAAAAATAAATTATACACAAATAAAACTATAACCTATAATAATAGTGACTTTTGTGTTTTCTAATGATGTCCTAAATGGCCAACTTTATTTATTTATATTTTTATAATTTTTTACATTCTTCTTTTATACATTACATCCCAATTGCAGTTTCTCCTCCCTCTTAGTCCTCCTAGTCTCTTCTCCCACCTCCCCTCTTGCCCCATCCACTCCTCCTCCATTTCCCTTCAGAAAAGGGCAGGCCTCCTATGGAAATCCGAACACAGCATAGGCATAACGAATTAACAATTAAGACTAGTCACTTCTCTTTATATTAAGGTTGGAGGAGGAAACCCAGTAGGAGGAAAAGGGTCCCCAAAGCAGGGAGAAGACTCAGAAACATCCCCCACTCCCACTGTTAGGGGTCCCACAAGAATATCTAGCTAGCTACACAACCATAGTGTATATGCAGAGGACCTAGATCAGACCCATGAAGGCTCCCTGATTGTCTCTTCAGTCTCTGTATGCCCCAATGAGCCCTACTTAGCTGATTCTGTGGGGGAATGGCCAAATTTAATCCAGGTGGAACATTTCTGGTTTCATTATGGGGAACCTTTTAAATGCTAATTGTTATTAACTTTTATTCTTCCTAACACAGGAGTTAGCTTGACTGTAGTCATAGGGATTGAATGAATAAGACAAAAATCTCAATTTTTAACAGAACTTATATTATGTCTCTGAGAAGTCATATACATACCAATCTTCTCAGATTTCTAGGCCAGACATAGGTTTTACACATTTCTAGTAAGATATTCGGATATTTTATATTTTACAGTTAGAAAGAGCGTAACCCTAATTCTGGCTGTCATTTTCAAGTTTGGGAGTTTGCTAGTTTAGGAAACTAGCAGCGGGCAAGAGAAAAATCTTCCTGTTTTAGACAATGTCAAATCTCTCTAGGCCTTAAGTCATAAACCATGAATTGAATCATTATATGACATTAGACCATAGACTAAATGAAAAGTCTGTTCTTGGCCTGTAAGGCTTGGGGATAATTATTAAACTGTGTAGACAAATGTTCTCTTAGAGCATATAACATGAGAGAAGGGAGAGAGCTATCAACTGTCCTCTATGCTCCTAAACTTTAGAGCTTATGTTGTCATACAGCTGTTTGAGCATATAACAAGAAGTATCATTTATAGTTGGGTTTAAGTCTAATTAAAACTCTGGTTTTGTTAAGTGTCAACTAATCCAGGCCCATAGGGGCTTACAGAGACAAAAACATCAACCAGAGAACATGCATGGACTGGGCTTAGTCCCACAACACATATATAATTGGTAGGCAGCTTGGTCCCCATGTGGGTCCCCTAGCAACAAGGAGAGTGGGGATAGTATCTGACATGGACTCCATTGCCTGTTTTTGGATCACTTTTCCCTAGTGGGGCTGCTTTTCCTGGCCTACACTAAGTCCTGATGCAACATAATGGACCGGGGTGGGTTTGTAAGGGGAGCCCTCCTTTTCTGAGAAAGAAAGGGGGAGGAAGGGTGAAGGGGAAAAGAGGTAAGGGAAGGGAGGGTGGAACTGGGAGGAGAAGAGGGAGGGGGATGTGATCAGGAAATAAAATGGATAAATTTATTTTTTTAAATTCTAGTTTAGCAGTTGAGAATACAATAGTGACTTCTTTAGAAGAATATAGAACAAATAAGTTAGTGGAGAATACTATATTCAACTACTCCTTTGCCCTATAACTTTTCTAGCTTTTGGACTAGCAGCATTTCAAAGTTTCCATAATAAAGTACATCACACCTAATTGCTTGAGTCAGAAGGAGGATCACTCTACTAGAAAGCAGATATATCTATCCAACTTTCTATTTTCTTTGAGATCTTCCTGCTGAAGGAAACTAATTTTCTCCTACATATATAGATTTGGATCCTACATATTTACATTGTGATACTGTCGTTCTTTCATTCTGAGTTTCAGTCAGAGAGAAACTTTTCAATGTTCTAACACTTTTATAAGAAA